TCTAACCTTAACTATAATCTTTATCAAAAAAGGAAAGTTGAGAGCGTGTCTGTCTCCCACATTCAAATGTTTGCACGCTCCAATAAATCACTGGACCCGTTTCTCATTTTCCCAGCAAAATATAAAGAAACGAGGTGTGGCTGAAGACTTTAGCAGAGTACTGTACACCAATGTGGTGAATACATTAGAGGCAACGAGATGTCCACTAATAGCCAACCATTAGCTTCGAAGCAAAGGGAGAGTAGTGAATCTGTCTCCTGTATATGTGGACAAGCCTTAAATAGTGTGGTTCACAACAGCTGCTTATCCAAAGACATTAACATCCACCTACCAGCCCTTATACAGCTTTCTTACATTATATACACTTTCAAGGTCATCTAATGTTCTTCTCACCTCTCCAGGAGAAAACACATTGTAAAGTCATTTTGCCTTTAATTACAGGTTGATACACTTAATCACAGTGAGAGAAGTTAATAAAAAATAGGGGTGATAGATGTTTTTGATATGCTAAAGCTGGGTCATTTACATAGCGCCAAATCACTACAGCGGTTGCCTCGAGGTGCTTTTTTTGGCGGGGTAAAGACAATAATTAATAATAATTGTGATATAATATAAAAACGTGACAATGTCTTTGAAAGCTGTTTTTGGTGGGAATAATTGGTCAATTTAGCCGACTGCTAGGTGGTAGTTAGGCAACATGATGACATCATAATATCTCATCTAGACAAGAACCTTCAGGGGCCTAAGATGCATCTGAGCACCAGGTCTTGATGCTCAGACCGGGCACTCAGATGCATCACACAGAGTCTTTCTGTCTTACAGGCAAATAGGAACACTTCACAGATACTGATCCTATTCTGGATTTGATCTCAACCTGTGACTCAGTTCAGCAGCGACTCATGTCAATCGTTTTACCTCCTTGGTTCCAGTCACAGCAGGATCCTTCTCCATCGCCCGCGGTCATTCCCAGAAGAGTATTAGCAACCCGCAGAACAACACCGTCAACAAAGTCCCGCGGGAGAGCAGCACAATTTCGCACCGCTTCGACGCGATCTCGCGGCTGGAACCCGGCTCCCCAGGAGCTCCCGGGGGTGCCGTTACAGCTTCCGTTCCCAATGCAACAGTCCTCGTCATTACTGACGTCTGACCTCTGAACTGTGACCCCGGGAGCAGTGCAGCGGCTGTGGATGTAATGAGCCCTTTGTTGCTCTAACTCAGGTTCATCAGATAACTGATAGTTTCTTGACTTTCCTAAAAGACACACCTGCAGGACAAAAAAGAAGTGTGAGGGCGACTCCCTGTTTTGGTTTCTTTTCTTGTTATTAATTAAGTTCAAAGAAATCCTACTTTTTCTTTCCATTTGAAAATGTTCACATGAAATCATTTTGTGGGAGAGCTTTTGCTGATATGAGCAAACTGAGTGTTACTGATGAGCAAACAGCAAAGCCCAGAAAATAATAGCTTGTTCTTTTATGGCCACGAGTATATTGTAGCTATTAATGGCTACCCGCTAACAGATTTATTGTTCCCTCTGGGATTATAAAGACATCCTTGATTTATTGTACGTCTACACTAAACGAAGCCCAGGTGGAGAAAAGGCTGGGAAGCACAGCTGTA